GTAGTGATACTGCCTCGGAAACCCAAGGAGGGGTCACTATGAGTCGGGGCCGACTCGATGGCAAATAACAACAACAACAACAGGTAAGAACAAAATCGTACTAACAACTAAACAGAGTCCCTGCATGGCACAAACAAAAAAAAGTGCTTGACTGCTAACCAAAGTTTGGTGGTTTAAACCCACCTAGAAGCACCTCAGAAGAAAGGACTGGCAATTTGCTTCTGAACGATCACAGCCTTGAAAACTATGGAGTACAGTTCTACTCTTATATGGGATCGCCATAAGTCGGAATCAACTTGACTGCAAATGGTAACAACTAAACACCTTTACACAGATTGTAAAATACATCTTGAAATATGAAAAACTATGTATCTGTCTGTGACAGGATAGGGGAGAGCTGTTCTACCAGTGTACTCTTATGGATTCTGTGGTAATGTTTACACAGGCAAGGTGTAAGAGTGTGGAAATGTCTGAGTAACCCCAGGTGTAGGATCAACTTAAGTGCACTGGCCAACTGCTTTGTTTAAATACCTCTGTCTCTTAGAAATAAGTGAAGTACTATAGGTTGCTTTTTATGAAGGCTATACTGATGGGGAGGCAGGACCTCACTTAAAAAGTGTTGTTCTTTGTTCATGGATTCCAATACATAAGTTCAGATTTACTTTTAATCACATCTTTACTTCCTAGCTTCATGACCTTGGCCAAATTACCTCTCTTTTCCAATTTCTTCATTTTAAAATGGAGCTACTACTGGTATGATGTCTTCTTCATAAAGTCATTTTGAGAATTAAGCAAGTTAATGTTTGTAAAGCCCTTAAAACATGTTTGCTTGTCTAGTAAGTGCTATGTAAATTTTTATTAAGTAAATACCATTAAATTCAAAAACATTAAAAATGCATTTCACATAAGAGATGGATTTAGTCCAGGACTCTCATTTTCCTGATGAGGAAACTGATGATGTGCAATGCTGTGAGCCGCCCCTTCCCAGACTTCCTCAGTGATATTGCTGGGGTGAAAGCCCAGCTCCTCCAACTCCCTGCCCAAGCTCTTCATGTCAGACCATTTACAGTTTCCAGTTGCCTGCATATAGGATGCTGCCCAGGATTGTGTAGGCCCAGCATGATCAGCAGAGTAGGATAAGTATCAGGTTTATTTGTTGGATTTCTTTAATGGTAGAGGCACATTTATCATGTTTATGTTCCCTTAAGTGTAATTAGTTTAATCATTTATTTACTCATTTGTTATTTAAAATCTGTGCTAGGCAACAACAACAACAAATTCTTTTGCAAAATATCCATACTTTATGAAGAAAAAGAGCTCCTTAAGAATAAAGTCCACACTTCATTTCAGATCTGACAGATGAAGCTGTAAATGTAGCTATTGCTGCACCTCCATCAGAAGGCGAGGCTAACGCTGAGCTCTGCCGCTATCTCTCCAAGGTCCTAGAACACAGGAAGAGTGATGTGCTTTTGGATAAGGTAGGCCTCTCTCTCTTTAAACATCTTTGATTATTACACACTAATCATTTTTTTAAAATACATTTTCTTGAAATATAATTTATGTACAGTGAAATACACAAAACTAAAGTGACATGGGTCAATGCTTATTTTTTTTTCCAGTGTTCCCTCCCCTCCCACCCCTGGTAACTAATAAAGAAAGTTTCCTTCCATCTATAAACCTTTTCTTGACTTTTTACAATAATGAACTATTATATTTGTCCTTCTGTGATTGACTTATTTCACTCAGTACACACTAATCATATTTATGTATTTTTTTCCATTTCTGAATAACTGAAAAGCCAAGGGTTTTACCTCTCATCTTCACTTGATCCCTAAAATCTGTGAATTCTTCCTAGGCTCCTCCAGTCCTCCTGCCTCAGCCCTTCTTCAGACAGTCCACACACTAGTCTGTTCCTTAGTTGCCTCCATTCCCAGCATTTTCTTTTTTCTGAATTCATTTCTCTTTCTTTCTCTGTCAGATGAATCTTGCTCACTTCTTCCATCAAGTCATTCCCACACTAAAAAATTTGAAATGGTTTCTCTGGTCATCTCCATGAGCCAGTCCATTGGTATTTCTGATCCCTCATCTTGTTCTTGCTCACTAGGAGAACTTGTTAGGAAGTCAGAAGGGACATGTAAAATCATTAGTATCGTGATTTTGTACTAGAGGTGGGCATCATAATCACCTGGGAGTGATTACTGAAGTACAGAATTTTGGACATTACCAGAGACAAGTGAATTAGAATCTGCAGGAATCGGGCCAGCCAGGTTTTTATTTTTGTAAAGTTATTTCCAGGGCTACATTATATAGCTCCTTTTTGGGTTGCAGCTGACATTCAGGAGCTCTGGTAGCACAGTGCCTAAGGTACTTGACTGCTAACCAGAAGACTGGTGGTTCAAACCCACCAGCCACTCCTTGGAAGGAAGGTTGGGCAATCTACTTCTGTGGTGATACCGCCTCGGAAACCCAAGGAGGGGTCACTATGAGTCGGGGCCGATCAATGGCACAGAACAACAACAGTCATTTGATCGGGCCCCTTTCCCACCATTCCCCACCTGGGCCAGGTCATTCCTGTCTCTGCCAGTGCACAACCGCTGACTTTGCCAAAAGACATGCCCTCTCTCCAACTCTGTCAGTGCAAATCCTCCTCATTTATAAATCCCTGCTAAAGTTTTCCCTTCTTTAAAGGATATGTTTCAAAACAAATCCCTTTAAAAGTTGTCTTAAATGGTAGTGGAATCATAGCATTTGGATATGTGGTTGTTTTTGAATTTTCAGAAATGTGTGACAATATAGAGAATATTTTTATACAAAGTCAATATAAAATTGCAGTATTTATTTTGTTAATTTAAACTATGATTTTCATTTTTTAATTTAAACAAACGAATTATTTGAAACTACAATATTTTATTCATTTATTTATTTTTCATCAAAAAGATAAGTGAGCATAACCTTCATTTTAAAATCCAAGTTGCAGGGTCCTGCCTTTGATTCCACTGTTTCAAGTGTTTGTTTTCTCAAACTAAATGCTTGCTTTTCCCAAATATTCAAGAATAACTTGTACACTTTTTCCCTCCAACACTTCTTGATTGGCTTTGCAAAAATAAAGTTTTACAATTAAAAAAAAAAGAAACTAGAGTATTTTAAATCTAGATTCAATATTCATTTTGAATTTATTCAAAAAAGTTTTTATTATTATTATTACAGAGATTGATGTATGAATTTAAAAGATCCTCAGGCTATGAGTGGCTACAGCTGAGATCTACTATCTCTAACAGTATGAAAATATATAGAGTGGGTTATCCTGACACACTTTTTTCCTTCTGGTTCAGGGTGGTAAGTCTCGTGAAAAGGTGGTGAAGATTTTGGCCTCCACAACTCCAGAAGAGATCTTGGCGAAATTACAAAAGCAAGCCGAAAATAAATAGAAGAGATGAAAAATATATCCTTGAGAAACTTTTTTATTGTTAAGATGAGGAGGCTATTAAATAGAAAAACATACTTACATACACAGAAACACATGGAAATATTTTTTGAATAAATAAAAGACTGAAAAAAGAAGTAGAAATTCAAAAAGTACTATATATTGACTACAGGTTTTAAAATTCCTGACCCAAAGTAGCTTGGAGCATTTTAGTCTGATTTTGCTGCATTACAAAATAACAGCTGGAAAGACTAGTCACAATGGCCTCATTTAACTCCTTTCATTTTGTGAAAGGACTTCTGATATCCAGAGATCGAGACTTACTCAAGATCACACTGTGCAAGATGGGACAAGTTTCCAGAACTCTTGATTCCTAACTGCAGTTTATCATGATTGTAAATTAAAATGTTATGATTTTCACTCTTGCTGTACTTGTTCAGAATGTTTCTAAAATTTTACAGACTTCTAATCCAGTTTACAAGTGACAGAAGAAAATCTGTCACACTGCTTTATAGTCTTATATTGTAAATACTTACATAAATGCACAAATATTTTCCACATATTTTTAAAACCACACTGGGCATTTTATGAAGAAGTAATTAAGTAAGACTTGTAATTGAATGTTAAATATATAATTTCAAGATGACATTTTTTTTTTCTCCTTGAACATTGATGATGAGAAACTACAATCATCAAATCCAATAGTGCTTACGAATCTCCAAAGGCCTTCAAATGCTAATAACAAATACCTTGTTTTTATGAATTTAGTGCAAATTATAGTAATGTAGTAAGGTAATTGACTACTTTGCTCATCAGAAAAGCTGATTTGAAGTTGTATGTTTTAGTAAGTATGTAAGAAAATATTGATAGACAAAATCTTTAAGGATTATAATGCAGTTTCTTGATGGTAAAGAGCTGGGAACCACTCATCTAGTACAGCTCTCTTATTTTGTTAACAGAAATCGAGGGCAAGAGAAGTTAGGTGACTTATCCAAGATCACAGTGAACATTAATGATGAGCTTGAATTAAAGCAGAGCTAGTGTGTTGGTTCTCTAGTGCTGTGTAATAGACATACCACAGATGAATAGCTTGAACAAACAGGATTTTATTCTCTTAAAATTTAGGAGGCTAGAAGTCCAAGTTCAAAGCACCAGCTCTAGCGATTGGGTGAAATCCCCTAGACCTTGGGCTTTAGCGCTGCCTCTTGCTCCTGGCCCACTGGAGCTGGAGGCTTCTCTTAACTTGGGTAGCTGCTTGCTGCTGAAGCTGACAAACCCAAGGTCAACAAGTAAAATGGTACAGTTCCAAGATGAGCAAACAGCATGGCAGGCCACTGGTTCAAGTTCAGGAACAATCCCAAGATCAGCAGACAACATGGCAGGCTGCTGAACAAAACCTGGCTACATACAGGGTCCATGTGTGCCAAAAAGCTCAAAGACCTTCCTCATCTTATATACAGGAAGCAGACCATATCCCTAAGGCAGCTACTCATGTGCTCCAGTAGAGTCCACCGTGGTGCTGATTAAGTCTTACTACATTCAGCTGCCCAGCCACTCAAAACTAGGCCCAGCCAAGTTGACATACAACTACCATAGCTAGTTTGTTTCCTAAACCACTATCTCCACATGTGCTGTTTTACCTGGTCTTGGCTTAAGAACTTTTTTTTTAAAATTGTGGTTTAGGTGAAAGTTTATAGAGCAAATTGGCATTCAACAGCTCATACACTTTATTTTGTGATAATCATTGCAATCCCTACAATGCAGTAGCACTCTACACTTCCTCCCTGTGTTTAACGTTTCCATTCATCCTTCTTCACTGTCCCTTTCTGCCTTCTGAGCTTTATCCCTGAGCAAATGCTGCCCTGTTGATCTTGTATGGTTGACTGTTTTAACCACTGCATACCTCCGTGATGTTACTCTTCACTTTATAGGACTGTCTGTTGTTTGGCTTGGATTAAGAACCTTTCCCACTCTTTTTCAACACTGTTGTAGTGTGTGTGTTCTAAAGTTTACTTTACTTGTGGTGGTTAGGTAGATTGCTGTTGAGATGCTTTTCTTGGCAGCTAACAGAAATCCAACTCCAACTGGCTTAAACAATAAAGGGACTTACTAGGTCACACATAGGAGCTCTGATAGCATAGTGCCTAAGGCACTAGACTGCTAACCAGAAGGTTGGCAGTTCAAACCCACTAGCCACTCCTCGGAAGGAAGATTGGGCAGTCTACTTCCATACTGATACTGCCTCAGAAACCCAAGGAGGGGTCGCTATGAGTTGGGGCTGACTTGACGGCACATAACAACAACAACAGCACACATCTGAAAAGTCCAGAGGCAAGTATGTTAGGGGTTTGTGTGATTTGACAGCTTAGGATGCCGTGAAGGACCCACTTTTTTTCCTCTTCTGACTCTCTTTAGCAGTGTTACCTTCATCTTCAAGCCTCTTCCTTCACAGAGGCACAAAAGCACAGTTCCAGGCTTCACATTCACATACAACCTCTTCCAGTAGGAAAGGCCACTTGAGAGCTGTGATATTTCTTTTCCAAAACTGGCCAGTCAGTTTCCCCTTATGTCTCAGTCCATATTAGGTCATATGAACTTTCTAAACCAGCCCCTGTGGCCGGGGAATGCCATGCTATAACCCAGATTACCTTAACCAGTGACTATGGAAATGAGGAGAATTACCCTAATTGTTTTAGACCTGTCCTACAGCTGGAGATGAGGTCAGCATACTCAGATGCAAAGGGGTGGGTACAGAATAAAAACCTGAATAAAAACTGGGAAGAAGTGTGAAGAATGGATACCAGGTAAGAACAAAAATACCTACTACAATAATCTATTCATTTTAAGGGGTCCTATTTTAACATGGTTCCTGTTTAATCACAGTTTTTTTTTTTTTTTTTTTAAAGAAAAACTGTCATGAGAGGTAGGAACTGGCCCAGGAGCTCTATTCCAGGACATGATTTCCCTTTTTCCTGCAAACAAGGCAGTGGCCAGCAGTCTCTCCTGGCCCCAAACAGGGTGGTTACTCCCTAGTGAGAGCTCACCACTAAAGCATGGGCACCCTGACCTGCTGTGAAGGTTCAGTTAATGCAGTTTTCTTCAGCTGGGCCGTGGTCTTCGCCTTAAGAATTCTGTCTGAGGAAGTCCCAGTGATCTAGTATCATGAAGACAAAAATCTGTTTTGGTTCTGTAATGCTGCTCTAACAGAAAAACCACAAATGTATGGTTTTAAGAAATGGATTTATTCTTAGTTTAGGAGGTTAGTCTGAATTCAAAGTGCCAGCTCTAAAGGTTGGGTAAACGCCCCTTGACCTTGGACTTCAGTTCTACCTCTTGCTCCCCGTCCACTGAAGCTGGAGGTTTCTCTGAGGTTGACAAACCCAAGGTCGACAAAATGGCACAGTCCCCAAATTATCAAGTAACTTGGTAGGCCACTAATTCAAGTCCTTTAACAGTCCCAAGATTGGCAGAAACATGGCAGGCCATTGAGATGAAGACTTGTCCAAATGCAGGATCCAAATATGCCAAAAGCTCAGAGACCTTTCAAAGCATCATCTTATATACTGGAAGCAGGCCACATCCCTAAGACAGCTGCTCCAGTAAAGTCCACCAGGGAGATGATTACTAGTCTCTTGGGGAATAACTATATCCAGCTGCCCAGCCACTCAAAACCAGGCCCAGCCAAGTTGACACATAACGTTAACTACCACAATTCTACTCCTTGTAAACCTGGCACCTATACAGATCTCCTTCATTGCATGACCCAAGTCTCCTAGACCATCTGAGTAGCGACCTCACTGCCTTGGCCTGGCAGGCCCTGTTCCTCTGCCCCTTGGTCATGGCAGCCCTGCCCCCTCACTTTTGGGCAGAAGCTATGGCTCCATCCCACTGGCCCTCATGAACGGCAACCCTATACTATAGAACCAAGTTGGTGAAGAACTGATTCTCTGAAATCTAGGAGGTTGGGGTGACTCCACCCACAGAGGTCATGGTCCTACCCTTTGAGGCTAAGGCAGCTCTGCTCCCCATTTTCTTGGTCTCAGCTTCTGCCAGTTAGTGCCCAAAGGCAACTGACTCCACCAGGCAGCTTCCTGCCCAAGGGACTTGGCTTTCTGCTCTGTGGGCCAGCAAACCTCTTACTCCATCTCATGCAGTCTCTTATCAGTTAATGCCCAAAGGCAACCCACTCCACCAGGAAGCCACCTGCCCAAAGGCATCCAGCTTTCTCCTCCATGGGCTGGTAAGCCTCTCTTTCTCATGTCAGTCTCTTGGCTCTGCTGCCGGTCTCTCCACCAGCCCTCTCTGCCACTTGTTTCTGCTGGTCGCAGCATGGGGATCTCTGGTTCAAGGACACACTCCACCTGTTACCACATTTTAGGTATCTGTTAGAACAGCACCCCACTCTGGTACCAAATTCTGTTTTGGTTCTCTAGTACCACTGTAACAGAAAAACCACAAATGCACAGTTTTAACAAATAGGGATTTATTCTCTTACGAGTTCCCAAATTATCAAGCAACACAGCAGGTCACTAATTAAATCCAGTAACAGTCCCAAGATCGCAGACAACATGGCAGGCAACTGAGATGAAGACTTGGCCAAATGCAGGATCCAAATGTGCCAAAAGCTCTAAGACCTTTCTCAAAGCTGCTCATATACTGAAAGCAGGCCACATCCCTAAGACAGCTATTCAGCTGCTTACAGTAGATTCCACCATGGTGTTGATTACCATCTCATCATGGGGAATTATTATATCCAGCTGTCCAGCCACTCAAAATCAGCCCAGCCAAGTTGACACATAACCTTAACTACCATAATCCAACCCTTTAACATTTATTTGTCTAATAACATGATTCCAGCCCTGCCCATCACCGTTAATTTAAGTGGATACCAGCTAGCAGTCTATAATAGACTCTCTTTCCTGTCCTATGCAGTCCTGAGACTCCTGGCTCTGGAGCAACCCAAAAATGAGGTTTGAAAAATACTTTTCCAACATTCTAGCACTG